TAAATCTTGTGGGGGAGGGTGGCTGGCCCAGGGGTGCCACGGGTATTAGGGGCGGCCCAGGACCCCCGCCGGTGCTGGTGGGGGGCTAGGGTGGCAGCGCATGGCCCAGGATCCCCCTCTGGTGCTGGGGGGAGAGGGTGGCAGGGCTGGCAGGCTCCCTACCTGGCTCCGTGCCTCCCCGGAAGTGGGGACATCCCCCTCGCTCAGCTCCTAGGCCAAGGTGTAGCCAGGCAGCTCTGCCCAAGTGCTGGTTTCGCAGCTCCCATTGGCCGGGAACTGTGGCCAATGGGAGCTGCAGAGATGGTGCCTGCAGGCAGAGGCAGCACGCAGAACTGAGCGAGGGGCATGTTGCAGCTTCCAGGGAGCCCCACGAGGTAAGCACCGCCCAGAGCCCGCCTCACCCCATCCCATGCTCCCCAACCCCCTGCCCCCTCCCACACTTAAACTCCTGCTGCTGCTGGGGGCGGGGGGCACGGTGGCCCAAGACTGTCCCAGCAGCAGCTGGTGAGACTAGTGCAGGGGCTGCCTGAGCTGTCCCCAGGCCAGCCGCACCGGCTGCTGCAGAAGTCATGGAAGCCACGGAAAGTCACGGAATCCATGACATCTGTGACCTCCATGACAAACTCGCAGACCTTAGTCATGATTATTTTGTAAAAACATAAATCATCCAAGGTTCACTACCATATTTTGAATACCTCAAATGGGTTGTTTAGTTTTTGGGGTTTCAGATTGGGCCCATTGTAACCACTGTTTCTTGTTACCATTTGTATTTTTTTCTGTTCTTCCTAAATTATGGAACCAATACTGCAATATTTTAGGTGTGTTTACATCCAGGTTAAGCACTGTGCCATTAATACTACATATCCCATGTGATCCTCTTCCCAGAATATATGCCTCATGTATCATAGAGTTTGGATGATGTGTAGCAAATGAGGCAGGGGATTGCAGGAAGAGAAAGGAGAGTCTCATTGTTAAGGCAGTTGAATCCTGTCCTGGCGAATTGGATTCTATGTCTGCTTTTGCCACAGAGTTCCTATGTGATGCTGGGCAGGTCACTTAAACCAAACTTTTCAGAGGTGACCACTAATTGTGTGTTCCTCATTTTCTGGATTCCCAACTTGAGACTATGGAGTCTGATTTGCAGAAGTGCCGAGTACTCATGTCTCCAGCTGAAGTCAATGAGAGCTGTACTTGAATGTATAAAGCTAAATATTCTGAAAAATAAGGTCCTCGGTGTCTCAAATCAAGCACCCACAATTAATGGATACTCTTGGCCTTAATCTCTCTGCCTCCTCAGCTACCTATCTATAAAGTGGAGATAATACCATCCCCTCACCTCATAGGGGTTTTGTGAAGATAAATTAAATATTTGTGAAGCACTCAGATACTATAGTGATAAGTGCCATAGAAAAGCCCATGAGAAAATTTAATGATTGTCTTCAGAGCAGGGTTTGAATAGTGTGAGGTAAATAAGGCCTGGGGCCACACATTGACCAATGAGGCTAAAACAAAATACTGAATAGCTGTTCATTCACTGAGTACTATCAATCCTGTTCACTGAACGAGGCAGGGAAAAAATAGTATGTGGTCACGTAATTAAAAAGTGCCTCACAGTGCTTATACACAAAGGGCCTACATTAAGGTCGCCTTCATTCTGACATTTCTTCACTTTTGAGTGCTTGAATACAACATTTGTTTAACATAACTTTGTGTGAGTTAGGTATGTATATATCTAATAATAGCAGTAGCTTTTCATACCAACTCTGCTACTGTATACAAGTCTGCTAAGAGTGCTGTGCAAATTCTTTCCTTAAGAATAATATCAAGATAAGGTGAAACTTTGGTTTATCATCGCCATTTACCTTATTTTGTAAATGGATCTGCATGAGACAGCCTGGTGTCTTGAATAATGTTTCTTTGTCCTGTTTTATTTATATAATGAAACAAACACCAAAAGTCTTCACTGGCTATTTGACGTTGTTGTTTTTTCATCTGAGGGCATTCAGGGTGATAAATATTTGGCAGAATTGAAAAGGACTGACTAAGATGCAGAGAAAATTGTTCTGCTTCCCAAATATGCAAGAAAAGACCTTTTCATAGATTGAAAAGCCTAATTTTAAGGCAGTAGCAAGCAAATGACTTAGCCTATGATATAATTAGAGGTATGGCTAGAGTGAGACCACAAGATAAGTACTGTACTAAGTTAAATGCATTTTAACTTGACTTCAAGAAGCTTTGTAGCTAAAGCCTGATGAAGGAAATGCCTTGAACTTAAGCAGCCACAGCACTTAAAATCAGTAAAAAGGTCAAGACTATTGAGTGTTTTATGAAACAACAAGAGTATCATCCCCTAGTGCTACTACTGGAGGGCAGCTAAAGCTGATAGAACACGTTGGCGTGCTGGCTCCACACCCCTGTTTGTTCCTCAGTCCCTAGGATCCGATGGAAGACCCTCTATGAGTTGTGTAGATTGTGCAGAAATTTGAGGATGGGCCTAGGGATGGAAGGGAGTGAAAGGAGAGCAGCTGCATTCCACAGCTACTGCCCTCAGGTCAGGACACCACATAACTCTGAGCGAGTGAATATCTCCAAGCAGCGTTCACTCCCTCTAAAACCCTCCACAGCTGCCTTGTGTCAGATCTCCTACCCCACCCCATCCATTGCTGTCTTCCTAAGTTATTCCAGATCAGTGTCCTGTCTTCTTCCCTCCTTCCCAGCAGTCAGGAGTTAAAGCCCATTCCCCCAACATCCTCCTAGAAGCCAGGAAGAGGAGGGATGGAAATCAATACTAGTTTCTGCAGCAACCTGGAAATATGACAGCAATCAGTCACAGAGGCTTTTATTAAATTAAATATTGACACAGCTGATCAAGCTGTGTCAATCAATCATTTAGTTTTAAATAACCCTGATTTTCACAGTGTTTCTTGCTGCATCTCATACTGCTGCAAAGCTTACAATTTGTTATAGAATTCAGCTGCACTGTGCCCTAGAGACCAGGGATTCTTGGGTTTGTAGAACCTTTAAAAATGAATATTTATAAAGCATCTAACCAGAGTTCTGGGTGCTGTATGAATAAAATGAATACCAGCACCGCTCAGAAGGTCAAAAAAACACAAACTGACATTCCCGTCCCACCACAACACTCCCATTACTGACTGTAAGTACAGAAAGGGTTCTGCTTCACACCCCAACTCTCAACAACGCTTCCCATCCCAGCACACTCCAGGCACCTCTGCTCCTTTCATAGCCTGGCGTGTCATAACCTCTTGTATAGTGTCTGGAAAGTTGTCAAATTCAGGCTGTGGTTATGTGTATTTTGTACTTTTGTAGGCAGGTAGTGAGTGTAGATGTGTATGCAAGGATTATGTACAGGTGTGCACAAGTATTGGGTGCAGATGTACAGAAGTATTGCTCCTAAGGGTATTTCCTTTATCTTTTTCAATGCTTGTGTTTTCCTTCAACGAGAGCCTTAGCTCGGAAATGAGAAGTAAAAAGAATTAATTGTCCTTGAGTACCTTTTTCATTTGGCAATTTCCTTTTCTGTGTCTTGGTATAAGAAACAAGAACCAGTTTCAAATTGTGATTGTGTTTCTGTTGCTGAATTGGCCCACTAAAGTCAGCGGGCCAAATTCTGCCCTAGGATACATATGTCCGTCTCCCACTGACATCGATAGCCCCACACACAAATCTGGTAGCAGAATTTGGTCCAATCAGTGGAAGAGTCACTGACACAGGTAACAGGTTTCAGAGTGGTAGCCGTGTTAGTCTGTATCAACAAAAACAACAAGGAGTCCTTGTGGCACCTTAGGGACTTGCTGGTGAGCATTGGCTTCAGGATGTGGGGCTGTCTGTAAGCGAGGACTGGCCTGTCTCCCATGGTCTGTGAAAGTGAGGGATCATCCTTCAGGATAGGTTGTAGATTCTTGATGCACTGGAGAGGTTTTAGTTGGGGGCTGTAGATGACGGCTAGTGGCGTTCTGTTACTTTCTTTGTTTGGCCTGTCTTGTAGTAGGTGAAAGATTTTTGCAGCTGGTTGTGTGGTATCTTTATTTTTGTAAAACTAATTCTTCATCACCTTTATTCACTTGAATGAAAGACTGGAGCGCAGAATCTCAGCTATCATCTTTGAATTCCACTTACTCCCCACCTAGGCCATTTTCATATTTGATCTTTCAGTAACCTGGAAAGATTCCCTACCTCTTTTACTTTTGTCTTTAAAATTTATTTAAAACAATTTTTAAAAGTAAGTACCTTTTTAAACACTGATAAACCATGAAGGAACATACTGTATGCACAAGAATATTTGTCACATTTATCTGAATTTTATCCATTACACAGTAGGATGCTCTCATTCCTTTCTAATACCAAGTTGAACTGACAATAAACACGAGAATCATAAATTCCATATTGTGGAAAAAGATTTAAAGATTTGCTGCTCTAGTGTACAAATTTTCCACTGAGCCTACTATTCTTATTGAAATTGTCACTGGCATCTTTTCTGGTACAAATAGGGAATATGGTAATTTCTCTGCAACTAGTAACACCTGAGCTGGTTTTATATACAGTATCTTCAGCCACTATTGCAACCAGCAGAGTAATTTAAAAATATAATAATGAATGATGACTAAGACATTAACGTATTTCTCCTTCAGGAATATTAGCCCTTTGTGTTTTGCTTCTACTTCAGAACTTTTGTTGTTAGTTGCCTGGCAAAAAGATAACAGTTCCTTTATGCTACAAAAACTAGGAATAGACCCAGTGTTTAGGGGGGGGAAAGAGCAGGGAGTGTAGCTATTTTCTAGTATCTGTGATGTGCCCCATACTGAAGTAAAAGGCACATCACATGCTAGCCTCTTTTGGTGTCAGGACATAACCATTTATTATCATTTTAATGGTCACCTCTACACAACCTTGTTAACCTTTTATTTTATTTTATTTTTTAAAGGCAAGACAGTAATTTCTTAAAACAAAACAAAACCAATTTTTTTTTCTTATTTCAGGCTCAAACCCTTGAGAAGCCTGGTAATGTTTTAGGACATTACTTTTGATGGTTTTTCCTGCCCTTACAATAATATTATCAAACCCGCTGAAATGACAGGCATATCGTATACAGTGGAACCTCAGAGTTACGAACACCAGAATTACGAACTGACTGGTGAACCACACACCTCACAACTGGAACCGGAAGTACACAAGCAGGCAACAACAGAGATCAAAAAAAAAGGGGGGGCAAAATACAGTACATTACTGTGTTCAACATAAACTACTAAAAAAAAAGGGAAAGTTTAAAAAAAAGATTGGACAAGGTAAGGAAACTTTCTGTTCTTGTTTCATTTAAATTAAGATGGTTAAAAGCAGCATTTTTCTTCTACATAGTGAAGTTTCAATGCTGTATTAAGTCAAGATTCAGTTGTAAACTTTTGAAAGAACAACTATAATGTTTTATTCAGAGCTACGAACATTTCAGAGGGCATGGCTACACTTGCATATGTAGAGCGCTTTGAGTTAAACCAGCCTTCATAGAGCACACTAGGGAAAGTGCTGTAGTCTGTCCACACTGACAGCGCACTGGCGTGGCCACATTAGCAGCTCTTGCAACGTCCATAGAGAGCAGTGCATTGTGGTAGCTATCCCAGCATGCAAGTAGCTGCAATGTGCTTTTCGAATGGGGGGAGTGGGGTGGAGTGTGACAGGGACAGTAGCATAGCTAGCGGGGTGCAGGGGAAGCAGCCGCTTCCCCTCAGCAAATTTGCCAAAAGCGGCGCCTTTCCAAAGGCGGCCGCCGGCCGGAGGAGTGAGGGGGGGCGCAGGCTGGCTGCCCGCAGCATGGCCGGCAGCCATGGGGGGCAGCAGGCACGCGGCTGGAGGAGCAGGGGGCTCAGCATGCGGCTGGAGGAGCGGGGGGGGGGGCGCAGGCTGGCCGCCCGCAGCACGACCGGAGGAGCGAGGGGGGAGTGCAGGCTGGCCGCCAGTAGTGTGTTGTATGCAGGGCTGGCTCTAACTTTTTTGCCGCCCCAAGCAACAAAAAAAAGCGCCGCCCCGCTGTAACACACACTCCCCCCCAGCGCCACCCCACCCCGCCGAAACACCCCCCACCGAGTGCTGCGCTGCCAAAAAACCCCCCCGCCGAGCGCCACGCTGCCGAACACCCCCCGCCGAGCTACTGAACACCCCCGTGCGGAGCGCCGCCAAACACCCCCGCCGACTGCCGCACCGCCGAACACCCCTGCCCCACGTGGAGCGCCGCACTGCCGAAGCCCCCCCCCATGTAGAGTGCCGCCAAAACCCCCGTGAAGCGCCGCGCTGCCGAACACCCCCGCCCCCCACGGAGTGCCGCGCTGCCAAAACCCCCGCTGAGCGCCATGCCGCCGAACATCCCCAAGCGCCGCGCTGCCGAACACCCCCCGCCCCTCGTGGGGCGCCGCGCTGCCGAAATCCCCCCCCATGCGTAGCACCACTGAACACCCCCCACCGAGCGCTGCGCTGCCGAACCCCTCCCCGCGGAGCGCCACGCTGCCGAACGCTTCCCACCGAGTGCTGCGCCGCCGGAACCCCGCCGAGCGCCTGCGCCGCGCTGCCCCCCCCACCCCAAGATTAACCACCCCTTACCAGGTGCCGCCCCAAGCACATGCTTGGTTGGCTGGTGCCTGGAGCCGGCCCTGGTTGTGTGTATGTGGGGGGAGAGAGAGTGGGTTTTGGGGGGGCTGAGAGCATGTCAGTATGCTGTTTTGTAAGTTCAGACAGCAGCAGACCTCCCCTCCCCCCCGCCTCTCTCTCTCACACACAGCATTCCACAGTAATGGTTGCTTTGTCTCAGAGCAGATAAGCATGCCGGCTGTCAAATGGAGGGCATATCCAAAACAATGACAAGAGTGGCCACTTGACTTAAGGGGATTATGGGACGTTTCCGGAGGCTGATCAGAGCGCAGTAATGCAACACCTCATTCACACTGACACTGGGGCACTCCAGTGAGGGTGCATCAAACATTATTCCACTCACCGAGGTGGAGTACCAGGAACGCTCTAGCCGCGGAGTCAGAGCGCTTTACGTGCCTTGCCAGTGTGGATGGGGAGTGAGCTAGTGTGCATGGGGCTCCTTTAATGCGTTGCAACTTGCAAGTGTAGCCAAGCCCAGAGTTACGAACAACCTCCATTCCGAAGGTGTTTGTAACTCTGAGGTTCTACTATACTGGCTTCTTGGGGACAAATATACAGCAATGACTTAATGAAATTGCTAAGATACAATAGCAGAAATATTTGGGCATAAGGTTTAGTGGGTTTTTTACCCACGAAAGCTTATGCCCAAGTAAATCTGTTAGTCTTTAAGGTGCCACTGGACTCCTTGTTGTTTTTGTGGATACAGACTAACACGGCTACCCCTGATACTTAATAGCAGAAATGACTGTGAGGAAAAAAAAATCACAGAATGAGTGTGTTGGAGAGCAATAGTTTTTAAACTTTTTTAATATTCTAGATCACTTCTTAAAATAGAGCCTAATTCAAAATCCATTTAAGTCAATTGGGTATTTGCTAAAAGTCCACCAGCCTACTCAATCCAGATGTTCCTCTAGGGCTTGGTTACATATTTATGATTAGGACAGTATTCAGGAGACCAAATAACAATTAACTTGCTTTAATATACTTTTTAAATGTCCACGTTTTGTTCTAAATCTAGACTGAATGTATTTCAAATGGGGTCTAAATTTGAACAAACAGGTTTGCCCCTTCCCATTCTACATTAATCTTGCCTCCAGTAATGCTCCATTTTAAAACAGTTTTGTAAAAAGGAGCCAGGAAATCTATTTGGTCATGAGCAACTGCAACAGAAACAAATTGATTGGGTTAGTGTAACCCATTTTTCCAAAAAAACAACTCTCAGAGAAACCATCTGTTAGAAGTATTCTGCACTTGCTAACACAGACTAACAAAGTTCAGATTTTAAATTTGTGTTAGTGATTTCTGCAAGCTCCTTGGTATTCTGTTTGTCCCTAATGGAGAGGTCACATAGGGCATTATTAAAATACTGTCTGTTACTAGTATGCCCCTGAAACACTACTGACTGTCAAAGATGAGTCACTAGACCAGTGGTTCCCAAATTTGTTCCACCGCTTGTGCAGGGAAAGCCCCTGGCGGGCCGCGCTGGTTTGTGTACCTGCCACGTCCACAGGTTCGGCGTATCGCAGCTCCCAGTGGCCACGGTTCGCTGCTCCGGGCCAATGGGAGCTGCTGGAAGTGGACTGCTACATGAGTGCTAACATGCTATATACCTACAATAATGACCATTCACAGCTCAACTGCATTTAACAGTATGGGTCACATTTTTCATATGGAACTCTGAGTTTCCTCTTGGTTTTGGTCACCCAAATTCTTGTGTGCCTCCAAATTCTGCTTTGCTTGCACAAACTATCACTTCTGCAAATCTGAATATTTGAATGCACAAAATGTGAGCAAAAACTGGAGCATTGTAAATGAGGGCAGTAGAAGAAGCCAGCATGTGGTAGGGCTTTCATAGTAGGAAAAGACATAAAATACTGCATATTTGGTTGTGAAAACCTTAACTCCTTGATCATGGAATTGACTTTAAATAGCCTCTTCCCTCACTACATGCTAAAGAACTAGGGGGCCTGACACTGTTTCCCCCTTCCCCAGTTTCAGGCTTAAAATTCCTATTAATGCCCCTACTTGTCCATTACTACTACGATTGTGATCTGAAGTGTGGGAAAAATTTTCAGTGTCTTCCAGTTTCTGGTGCGGGGGAGGGAGAGTAAATGATACCCATGGACTATTAGAGTTTACATACTGCTTGGAGGACAAATTCATACAGTAGCTGAAGGACAAAGCAAAAGAAAAGAACAGGTGACCCAGAGAGAGTTGCCCATTGTCATTTTTTCCAAATCTGATTTCCCTTGTGCCAAATAAATGCACTACGTGCCTCTTATTTTAAGAGAGATGACTTCAAAGTCCAAATCTGAACTCCCCCAAAGTTTGGGGTTTTTGGATCTAGAGTTTTTATGCAGGTCCATTATAGAGAAGAACTATCCCTAGGTTTGGATTCAGAGCTATCCCCTAAATTCAGGGGTGCGTTAGCCACGTTTGGTTTTAATAAACAACAAAGATTATTTTTCTTTCAAAGCAAAATTTCGAAATTTAAAGCATTTTACCAGCAATCAGGTTTACGGTCTCTCCACTCAGGACCGGCTCTAACTTTTTTGCTGCCCCAAGCAAAAAAAAAGAGTGCCGCCCTCCATAGCGCCACCATAACACACACCCTCAGCACCACGCCGCCACCACCACCCTGCGTGGAGCGCTGCGCCGCCGAACCCCCGCAGCCCACCACAAAGCGCTGTGCCGCTGAACCCCCCAGCCCCCCGCGGAGCGCCACGCAGCCAAACACCCCTCCCCGCGGAGCACCGCCGAACACCCCCACCCCCCTGCGGAGCACCGCACTGCCGAACCCTCCCACTGCCACACACACCTCCCACTGAGCGCCGCCAAACACCCCCACCGTTGAGCCGCGCTGCCGAACACACACACACACCCCTCCGCGGAGCCCCCTGCCGTGCCGCCACACCCCCCCCCCCGGAGCACCGCTGCCGAATCCCCCCCCCAGCCGCCAAAACAAAAACAACCCACCCCACCCCCAGCGCCGCCCAACCAACCCCCCCCCAAAAATAAAAAATCCTGAGCGCCCCCCGCCACCCCAAGATTGGCCGCCCCTTACCAGGAGCCGCCCCAAGCACACGCTTGGTCGGCTGGTGCCTGGAGCCGGCCCTGTCTCCACTTCCTCTTTTTCCAAGCATTTGGTAACATGAGTAAAATATATGCTTCTATAAATAGGCTTGTAGCTTTGTTAGAACAGTAGTAAGGGGTCTTTCACTGGCATCCAGTCATCAGTGATGGGCAGAAAGGAAGCCAGTTTCATGTCTCATCCAAATTAAATTCTCATCCAAAGGAGCATTTTGTCAGCAGAATGGGAAGCACATTCCTCCTCCTTCACATAGCCACATCTATTAATCTGCACACTTGGCACATGTGCATAAAGGAGGAACACACTGTGCCAGCACATAGCACAAACCATTCATTCTAATGACTCACAATATTGAAATAATATTTATTAAATATTCAGAAATAACTTTTAACAAAGTTTTCACCAGCAGCATCAGGCATAAAAATGAAGGAAGCTCTTGGCACGTGTCCAGTGTAAGTGGGAACTTCATGGGCCAAATTCAGAATGTGTCCCCTTCTGTCATTTGATTGTCAGAGCCCCTGTCATGTCTCTCATCCCCTGCAACTAAGGGGTGAGGAATGTGGACCGTCCTTGCTTGTGCTTTCTATGTTCTTTGTGTATGGGTCTCAACAATTCTCACTGAAGAGGCGACCACTGCTGCCTTAGGGCTGGTCTTCTTTTAAAGGGTCCTTTGTTGTTCCTATCACAAGATCAAATAGATCATCCATTTTCAGTAAAACTAAATGGGAGTTGAAAAAGAAGACAATAACCATAGCCCCAGAAGAGAAAACCTGATAGGATTAAACTGCTCTGAATGAAGTGTTACATCCTTAGGCACTGACCCTCTGTTTTCACAAAAGAACATGCTGTGAAGGAGGTGAGGTGAGATGATGGTTGTAGGCTCATTCCAGTCAAGCCATGTGACTTCTCCAGTAAGGCAGACTGTTCTCTCAGTAGAGCAATTTCAAGTGACTCATTTCACAGTTGCCAACATATCCCAAAATGTTATTGGGATAATTCAGAGAAGAAGCCATGGTTTTGGGGCTCCCCAGGGAGTGGGATGTCATGTGTGCATATTAGGGAGTTTTAGGTGATTGTTAATGTGAATATCTCCATTCCTTTCAGGGCCGGCTCCAGGCACCAGGCAACCAAGCACATGCTTGGGGCAGCACCTGGTAAGGGGCGGCGGGGAGAGCGCGGCATTCCGCAGGGGGGGCGGGGGCGCTCCGGCAGCGCGGTGCTCGGCGGGGGGGCAGGCTCCGGAGGCACGGCGCTCGGCGGGGGGCCACGCAGGTGCGGCACTGGGGCAGGGGGGTGGCTCGGTGCTTGGGGGGGTTCCGGCAGCGCTCAGCGGGGGGGCGGCGCAGGGCATGGCGCTCAGGGAGGGGTGTTCTGGCGGGGGGGGGCGGGCTCCGGCGGCGCGGCGCTCGGCGGGGGGCAGCGCTTTTTTTTGCTGCTTGGGGCAGCAAAAAAGTTAGAGCCGGCCCTGATTCCTTTGCAAGGTTTCATAACATTGGAAGTTCAGCTAAGCAGCCAGAGTCCATGGAGGCCACCATCTCTCCTCAAAAAAACTTCTACATCTTCACCAGAAATTAAAAGGAGGCCCTGTGACCTGCAAATCAGGCATCCTCTCTCCCAGTTCTTCAGAGAATCATAGCAGGTTTGTTCACTTCTCTGGCATCTTTGGGGTTATCTCACACTCTCTTTACACCGGATGGGTAAAGAAGGGTAAGGTGTGGGGCCTCTGGGCAGTAGGATGTGGTATATCTCCCTCACTTTCTCCACTGGGGGACTTACAGGCTTATGCCCTGTTTGTTTGCCTTAGGATTTGTAGAGTTTTCCTTCATCCCTTCGGGTCCCTCCTGCATTTCTCCATCTCCCATTTAAAAGAAGATTGTGAGCAGTGCAAGACGGCAAAGGCAGGCGCCAGCTTTCTCCAGGCCCCAGGAGTGCTCAACCCACCACTCCGCCCAAGCCCCACCTCCCCTTCTCCCAAGCCCTCCCCCACCTCTTCTTGCCCAATTCTGCCCCTCCCCTGAGCACGCCCTGTCCCCGCTCTGCCCTCTCCCCCAGCTCCTCCTGCACACCATGGAATAGCTGTTCACGGCAGGTGGAAGGCGCTGGGAGGGAGGGGGAGGAGTTGATCGACAGGGCCGCCAGCAGATGGGAGGTACTGGGGGGATGTGGGGGAGCTGGCTGCCAGTGGGTACTAAGCACCCACTAATTTTTTCTGTGGGTGCTTCAGCCCTGGAGCACCCACGGAGTCAGCGCCTATGCAAGATGATATATTTCTGGGGTGCAAGGCTGGGGGGTTGGGAAATTTGCTGGTGTTTCCTTGTGTATAGTTCATGACAGTATTCACGCAACTTAGCTGGGTGTGCCTCTGCATGCTGGTGGCTGAGTGATAACAGCACCTGGAGGGGTTTGCTGCTTGTCACGAGCAAAGCATTGTGAGACACAGCCCAGGCTGGAGGATTAAGGGGGCACAGTGGTCCCACAATTCCAGGTTCTACCCTGGGGATCCCGTCACAGAGCATTACAATGCCTTGCTGCTGTATCTCCGACCTAGGCTGCTCACAAACAGCTTGCCAGCATGCAAGTCACACCCTGAGTGTCTGTGTTTAGCCATAGTTCTTGATCAGCAAGTCTGATCCCAGCAGACACCAGCCACGCTCTGGCTTCCACCACCCTTGGTTACTACTTGCAGGGTGACCTCAACACACTTCCAGTCCTGAATTTACTCCTCCCCCCATCCCCGAAATGTATGTTCTGTATTGTCCAGCCTTTTCCTGGACAGTTCAGCTATTTTAGATCCGTTGTCTCTCCAATTTGCTTCTTTTAAATGGCGTTACCACACAGTCCAGTTTAACCACAACACTGGAGGAGTTTTGATTACAGAAAAAAACAAGTTTATTTAAGACAAGAAGATAGGATTTTAAGTGAGTACAAGCAAAGGCATTAAAGTTAGAAATGGTTACAAGATAAAGATAAATTGCTTCTAACTTCACAAATTAGGCTTAGTTCAAGGTACACTTCTTACCACATGCTCCCAACAGCATTATTGACCAATCTTTAGGTCAGGATCATTCTCAAAGTCAAAGAGCTGGCTTCTTTTGTTTTCTTGGGTTCAAGAGAGATGGACAGGGAGAGAGAGAATATGGGGTGTTTGCCTCTCACTTTTATAGTTCAGTCCCCATCAAAAAATTGTTCTTAGCTGAGAGCAAGGAAACTGGTGTGTGTGTGGAGGGGGGAGGTTTCATTCTGTTCCTTCTGCATCTCTGCAAACAGAAGGGAGAGATTTTCTTTGTCTTCTTTCTTTACTTTCTCCTATCTCTGAGGATTCTGTTTACAGCTCATATGCATATTGAGGTAAATACACATCCTTTTAAGACCTGCTTGACTGGTTTTACCTAATCTGGGCTACCTGAGTTTGTACATGTGCCTCTCGCATTATGATAACTTCACACACAATGTTGCCACATACATTTCACCATAATATTATTGACCATCAAGTTATTAATTTTCAATTGATACCTCACAATGTATATTTTGTACAAAGATAATTACAATAGTGCATACGGTGTGAATATAGGAGGTACATTTGGTCACAATTGGATCTCAACCTAGTCTTCTCTAGGCTAATCAGATCCCCCTGTGAATCTATGGCGATAATCTCACTATCTCTACTGTCTATGAAGACAGCGTTTCTGGTGGCAATTACTTCCTCAACATGGATTTCAGAACTTCAAGCTCTTCTGGCTGTCCCTCCTTTCATGGTTTTGCATAAAGACAAGGTTTCCCTTGGGCAACACCCCAAGTTGTTGCCAAAAATAGTGTCAGTTTTCCAACTGAACCAAACTATTCAACTTCTGGTGTTTCTCCCAAAACCCCATTCTTCCAGAGTTGAAGGACTTTATATCTCAGGCACTCGTAGAGCTTTAATGTTCTACCTGGACTGCAGTAGGTCCTTCAGAACCTCTCCCAGGCTTTCTGTAGCCTGCACTGAGAGAGTTAAGGGTCAATCATTGTCAGCTCAGCAAATCTCATGTTGGATTTCTGACTGCATTAAGCTCTACTATGATCTTGCTAAAATCTCTCCTCCACCTAGGGTGACCAGATGTCCCGATTTTATAGGGACAGTCCTGATTTTTGGGTCTTTTTCTTATATAGGTTCCTATTACCCCCCCACCCCCATCCCGATTTTTCACACTTGCTGTCTGGTCACCCTACCTCCACCGAGAATAATGGCTCACTCCACCAGAGCTCAGTCCACTTCATCAGTCTTTCTAAGCAATATCACAATAGCTGATATATGCAAAGCAGCAAGGTGGTCATCTGTACATAGTTTCTCGCCACCCCTATTGGCCTGGACGGCGAACCGCGGCCAGTGGGGGCCGCGATCGGCCGAACCTGCCGTGTCAGCAGGTAAATAAAACTGGCCCGGCCCGCCAGGGTGCTTACCCTGGCGAGCCGCATGCCAAACGTTGCCGACCTCTGTATTACAGCTTCACTCAAGCCTCTGATAATAGCAACTTCGGCAAGTCTGTGTTACAACGTCTGTTCAGACCGTCTGAAGTCCCTCCACTTGTAAAGGAACAGCTGATGAGTCACCTGCAGTGGAATGTACACGTGCATAATCACTCAAAGGAGAAAAAATGGTTATTTGTACAGTAACTCTTCTTCAAGATGTGTGGTGTGCATATACATTCCACGTCCCTCCTGCCTTCCCTGCTAGTTCAGACATTAGATAAACAGCGGTGCAAAAGAACAGAGAGGGAGGCAGCAGATGCCTTTTTATGCCCTCCGATGGGTGCATGAGGAGAGCAGGGGGTGCATGCACTTCCTAGTGGTATTGCTGGCAAAAGTCTCTGACTAGAGTACATTGGGTGCACATACATCTGCAGTTGGAGTATATGCATAACACATCTTGAAGAAGGTAAAGTTCCATTATACTAAACTGTACTTCTGTCAATGAGATGTACAGTGCTAGAAGGGCTAAAAAAATGGTTACTTATCTGTACAATAACTTATTTTTTCTGGAAATCCATGAATGTTGTATATGTATATATGAACATCAAAAATACTATAATATTTCCATCAGATTAATATTTTTCCCTTCTACAATGCTTTTAGCAGAGGATCTCAAAGAAGTTTGCAAAGGGGGATAAGTACTATTGCCCCCATTTTACAGATAAACTAAGATACAAGACTGTTCAGTGATATCACACAGTAAACTGGTAGCAAGTAGATAACAGAATCCTGGTTTCCTGACTCCTGTATTCTAGTGCTGCCATCTCTAGGCCACACTCCTGCCCTATGATGGAAGGCAATGATATCTATCTTTACATATTTTAGGAATATTTCCTTAGCTCTGACACTCTGATTTAGCCAAACACCATTTTCCATTATCTATTCCACTCAACTCAAAAGTTCCCCCTCCTTAAATAACCTCTACAGAGGGATTCCTTTTGCCCTCATTAGTATTGGTGTAAATCCAAAGTAACTCCAGTGAACTCAGCAACAGAATGCAGAAATTGGCCACCGATATTTTAAGACACTAACACAGTGTGAAATTTAGTCATAGAAGAATAAAACCCATATTTATTAGGAATACCAATTTCTAGGAAATCACTCTTCAGTGTTAGCCTGAATTAGAATGGATGTTACATGTCAGTAGAACCTGTAGTGCAGGGGTGGGGAAACCTACGGCCCGTGGGCTGCTTTAAGTCTCCACGCCTCGGGCCAGAAGCCCTAAACCTTGGCACTTTCCTGTGGGGCTGGAGTTGCAAGTGCCGGCTTGTCCTGATGCAGGGGGAAGCTAGGGTTGCCAGGCCATTAAAAGTCTGGTCAGCTCCATGCAGTTCCCGGAAGTGGCTGGCACATCCCCCGGCCCCAGCTCCACAGCTCCCATTGGCTGGGAACCATGGCCAATGGGAGCTGCGGGGGCGGCGCCTGCAGGTGCAGGCAGCGCGCACAGCGCAGAGCCCCCTGGCCTCCTCTGCCTAGGAGCTGGACATGCTGGCCGTTTCTGGGAGCAGTGCTGAGCCAGGGCAGGCAGGGAGTCTGCCTTAGCCCTGGAGCCTGCACCCTGAACCCGCGCCCCAGGTCGGAACACCCTCCTATACTCTAACTCCCTCCCAGACCTTGTACCCCAACCCCCTGCCCCAGCCCTGAGCCCCTTCCTGCATCTCAAACCCCTCATCCCCAGCCCCACCCCAGAGCCTGCACTCCCAACCGGAGCCCTCACCCCCTCCTACACTCCACCCCCTGAGCCCCTCATTTCTGGCCCCACCCTGGAGCCTAGCAGAAGCCCAGAGCCTCTGCACCCCTGCAGAGTTGGAGCTCCGAGCGCCAGCTCGCCCATCCGCAGGGCTGTGTGTGGCCCACCTGATCTTTTTCTGTGGGTCAATGGCCCCTGACAGAAAAAAGATTCCCCATCCCTGCTCTAGTGAGTGCTCAAAGACATCCTCCAAATAACCACTTATGTAAAGTCAGGTCTGATTTTATGCAGGAGTTTTCAGTCTCAATCTCTCTCTTTAGAGGGCAGGAAGAGATAGTGTTCTCTGCAGTTCTACCATCTCTACTTAATTTCTGTGCCAGCATGACTCTCCCTTTGATCCTAGGTAGGGTGACCAGACGTCCCATATCGGGACTGTCCCGATTTTCAGGCGTTTGTCCTGCGTCCCGACCGATGTTTGGTCGGGACGCAATTTGTCCCGATATTTCGCACTCCTGTTTTTGTTTTGTTCTGCTGGCGGGACTCCGCTTTTTTTTTCCCCCCTTGGTCTGCCGCCGGGACTCCACTTTTTTTTTCCCCCCTTGCTCTGCCATCGGGACTCCGCTTTTTTTTTTTTTCTCCGCCGGTAGGATCCCCTCCTCCCCATGTGTCCCGATATTTTCTTTATCCCATCTGGTCACCCTAATCCTAGGAAGCCTGGACATTGCTCCCTCTAAAGGTCATCATTGCTGCTCTGTGAATTAGCAGTAGGGTTGGTGGTCACTCAAGTAATGTGTGAGGTATTCCCCACCCTCTGGAAGTTCATTCACACAGCTTCTGACAGTGCTCCCAGCTGCCTCCAGTGCAGCACTTTTAGGAATGCTTACACAGCCACTAGTCCATAAATATATCTGTACTCCTCCACTGCCTAGAAGACTCAGCAAAAGAAAAAGAAAAAAAGTGCCCACATTTCAGAGGATTCTTGGGGAGAAAGAAAATGTGGGTTGATATTCCAGTTGAGCTATTCACTGAAACTAGATTTTAAAGTACAAAATTCCAGATCTTTATTATCCAAAGGGTAATAGCTTTGAGAAGTCCTGAAAATGTGAAAGAGATGGAAGTGGAGGGACTGATTATGCATTTCTAATCTCAAGCCAATGTAACAAAGAGGGTGAATAGGCTGTTAAAAAAAACAAACCTAGGAGACAGGCTGCTGAAGAGACATGACTCATTGTTGATTCAGAAGCAATATCATTAGCCTGGAGCTAAAAGAAATAAAATGAGGAGGTAGAGCACTTGACGGAAATAATATTCTCATTTGTTTAATTTGATATTTAAAAGATATTGCCACCAGCTAGTCTAAACTGTGGCAGCCTGGAGAATGTAAAGAATTCTGCTTTGAAAATATGGTTCAGTATGTTCAAAGATGTGTATGTTTTTTATTCCTAGGTGTGTCATGGTCATTGCTTTAGGTGATGTAAAACGAAGAGTTACAACCAGTTTTCTCATTAGGTAAGTGTAGATGAGTTACACTCTAGGATACACATTGTTGACAGATGTGATATCATAGCTGATGAACTTCAGTGCTGCTAGCAGAATAAAGAGACGACATCTGTCACATTTACATCTGGAAATGTTGTATGTACTATTGTTATTCTCAGGCCTGCATAAAAGACCCTCTAACAAACAGGCAAGCAGAAAATCTTTAAAATTGTTAAAGAAATTTTTTCAATGAAACGAATTCAGGACATATTCTTTAAAATTTGCTGTTTAAGGCCTGATTCGGCAAACACTTATACACAGGCATAATTTTTCTCGTATGAGTAGTCTATTGATTTCATGGGAATAAATGTTTGCAGCGGTGTATCACAGGTGAATGGGACCTTATGCATGAAAATGTCTGCTTTAAAGCACTTTAGATGAGATATAGTGGCCAAGTGCAGAGAAGATAAAAGGATTAAACATTTCTATGGAAATTGAACAGTTACAGTAGATTGAACAGAAATTATGTGGGTTGCAAACCCTCTTGTTTCATACCAAACCCTGATGGGGGTTAGGGCATGAGCAGTGATAGAGACTGGTCTCTGGGCAGGCTATGCCATAACTGTCTGATGCAGGATTTCTGGCACATTCCTCTGAAGCATCAGATGCTAGCCATTGTCAGAGACAGGATACTGGACTAGAAAGGCCACTGCTCTGATCTGGTACGGCAATGCCAGTGCTTCCCTAATAGTGCCTTTAGTTGGAAGGGAAGATGAGTTACATTCTCCCTCCCCCACAGCCTGCCCAGTTA